AAAAGATACAAAGATACAAAAGAAGATACAAAAGATACAAAATACTTTAATGACCAAGTATAAAATATATACAAGGAATTTGTCTTCGGTGACGAACAGCAAGATCAACGGTGTGTTTGGATAGCAACAGAAAAATAATAAACAGTAACAATAACAGTGCCCAGTAAAATAAATTTTTCAAAGGGAGAAACCACTGTCCAGTACATATCAAGTCATATAGTATTTAACAGAGCAATGGCTCAGGGGAAAAAACTATTCCGATGTCTAGATGTTTTAACATATGGTGCTCTGTAGCACCGTCCTGAAGGAAAAAGTTGGAACAGATTATATCCAGGATGGGAAGAGTCTGCAGATATCCTCAATTTCCTTGATGTCACCATAAAACTACATAGTGGACACATAAACATCATGCTACACAGGAAACCAACAGATGGTCATGCATACCTACGTGCTTCCAGCTTCCATCCAGCAGATACCACCATCTATAGCCAGGCTCCACCCTACAACTGCATTTGTTCAGACCCATTTGAGGGAGGTGCTCAACTGATAGATTTAAGCCAGGCATTCAGGAGACTGAATTACCCATCCATTGATCAATAGACACTGGTTATCCTCTACAGCTCATAGATCAAGCCACTCAAACACATGATTAATAAGCTATAGCCCATACTGGACACTACACTTTCTCAGGCATTGGGTAGCAGGCCCATACTTGTATACAGATAATCACTCAACCTGAAGCAGATTCTCACAAGCAACAAGAAACAACAGGGCAACGATTCCAACATGGAAACCAGACCCTGCAACAAACCCAGATATCTACTTTGACCCACATCTAACCAACAGCACCATCACAGCCCCAACAAGTTTATAGACAAGATTAGAGGTGCCTTCACAAGCTCTTTCTCCAATGTGATACATGCCATCATCTGCCAGCAATGTGCCTCTGGATTCTACACAGGACTAACATTACAAATTTTGTGCAAAAGAATTAGTGGACAGAAATATGACATTAGAACTCAAGACAAGGACAAAGTAATATCACGAGCCCTTCAGCCTCCCAGGACACTCCATAGCAGACCTCAAAGGGACTGTTTTAGAAAAGCAGGACTTTATCAGCACCGTTTATCTACAAGAAGTTGTAGAACTCACATACATCAAAAGGTTTCAGGCAATCTCAGGTCTCAACAAAGACAATGGGTTTTTAACACATTACAACTGTAAATTGATAAAGTACGTGTCCTTCTCTCACATGTAACCTGCACCTGTATAATTCAACCTATCCTCCCCTCCCTCTCCCGGCCTTCCCCCCAACTCACCCCAATTTAAATCTTACAGCCACTCTATGCATCTGATGAAGTGGGCTGCAGCTCATGAAAACGTATGCCTTTTAATAAAATTTATTAGGCGGACAAGGTGCTAGCAATGACCCTTGATTTGTTATTGTCCCAATCAGTCAGTGATGTATGGACATGGGAAAAAAATCTACTTTAATTGACATGGCAAAATAAAGAAATGTGAACTAGTTGAAAAAGAGTCAACAGGTCTGGCCCTTCCACCAAAATGAAGTTTTGCATAATAGATTAAGAGCTCCTTTAAAATCAGGCTATGCTTCTGTTATGGCTAGGGTAAATCGAACTAAGAGCTCTTTTCCGTGTTGCCTGTCCTTGGCTTAGGATGCTCCTACAGTTGCAGCAAATTCAGGCATCAGCCTGGATTTCACATGTATGTATACCATCCCATCTGAAGTGTAGCTGTTTTTCCTGGAGTTATTCTAGGGGCAAAGCATAAATGGAATGAAGGCTGTATTACAGGTCCCCTTTTGTAGTTCTAGGATTCTTCCCTTAAGAAACAGGAAATCCAGCAAGACTGAAATCCCATACCTCCCTCAGCTTAAATTCACGATAGGCATAAATTCCACAGGTACAGATGATAAACATTTACTATATATGTATCAGACTTGTACATTTATTTTTAAGCAAACTATGGTGGGTGGGGGGTAGGCGGAATCAAGAAAGAACAATGTGGATTCTAACTGTAACATAAAAGGCTATATCAATATCTGACATAAACTTTATAGCTATTCTTCTACTTTAGAATTTGCCATATAACACCATGGAAGATATGGCCCTTAATTTTCCCACTTTAAAGAAAATGAAAAGACTATGAAAGGCTTATTCTTGGTTGCGTTTATTTATAACGGGACCAGAATTTCCATCACTAAGCGATACGGTTGTAGAGTGCGACAGCATTGCTTAGCGACAGCAATTCCTGCAGTCCCGGTTGCCGTTGTTAACTGAATTCCAAAGTCATTAGGCGAGGCAATTTCCTGCTGGCTTCCCAAACTAAAGTCAGTGAGGAAGCCAGCAGGAAGCTGCAAGTCCCAGGCCTGCAGGCAGGTAAGTGACTGCTGCCAGGTAGAGGAGGGAGAGAGAGGGTGGGCAGTGGTGTGGGGGAGGATAAAGGAGGTTGCACGGGTGTGCGCAAGAGGTGCTGTATGAGTTGGGGATGGTGCATGGGGTGCAGCACAGCTCAAGTGTGCAAGAGTTCCAGTATAGAACAGGGAGGGTGCGCAGAGGTGCATGAGTGGCCAGCATGGCACAAGTGCAGAAGGGCTGGGAGAGGATGTGTGGGTGGGGGAGACTTACCCCAGTGACTTGCGATCTTCCCAGCTGGCTTCCCCTTTGGCTTTCTGGGAAAGCCAGCATGGAAGGCTGCAAATGGCCATCATGTGATCACAGGGCACTTGGCAACTGGTGGTAAGTGCAAATGGCCAAGCATCCAGATGTCATGATCATGTGACCATGGGGGTGCTGGGGTGGCTACAACTATGAGGACCGGTCTTAAGTCTCCTTTTTCAGCACCGTGTAACTTTGGTTTTCTTGGCAATGTTTTTGGAAGTGGTTTGCCATTGCCTGCTTCCTAGCCCTGGGAGAGAATGACTATCCCAAAGTCACCCAGCTGACTTTGTGCCTAAGGGGAGACTAGAACTCACACTCTCCTGGTTTCTAGCCTCGTGCCTTAACCACTGCACCAGCTGGATCTATTTATATATAAGCAGAATATTTACGTATATTTATATATACGCAGAATAAAAAAAATGAACAATCACTTTAGGAACAGGTATAACCAACCATTAAAATGCATCTTGCTTAGGACACATGATTACATCTCCCCGGCACTTCAGTGATTCCTGCCCTACAGCAGATCGTTCTAAGAACCTCGCTGAGAATCGGAAAGGCTTCCAAGGAACTTTGAAAAACCGGCGTTCCTACTGTTTCAACACACGCGCACACTCTGTTGGGGATTTCGGGTTTCCGCTGGAACTCTTACGCTCTAATAAATTTGCTTTCATCGTGCCACGAGGATCTTTGCTTGTGATACAGCAAACTAACACAGCCTGGAACCTATCTGTACGTTTTCGCGGCGGGGAGGAGGGCTTCAAACCTTCCAGCTGTCTGCCCCCCCCCCCCCCCCCCCCCCC